TTCGCAGTAACTCGCGAACTATGCAAAGTATCGCCTGAGGTCGTGGCTGAATCTAATACCTTTATTAAAATACTTCTACGAAACGTGAATATATCTCACGCGTTCATTAGCTATAAAATTTATCTAACATATTTTAACTTAAAAATATATTTAAATTACTATTGAACTAAAACAAAAATATGCTAATACCATAAGGGTATACACACACGGTAATGATCAAAACCTAAACAGATGCTCGCTCTTTTTAACTTAAGAATTAGAGGGAGAAATAAAACCTACCGGAGACAGATTTCAATTGAACCATTTATTTATCAGTATAGTCCGTCCTCCGATAGAACGCGTTCGGCGAAATTTATCGTGAAATTCTAAGATATTTTTTTAAACTATAGTTAACAAATTTTTTTAATGATTAGTGTTTCTTAAGGCAATTAGACTACATTTCACAAATTCGCCGCCACTTCAAAGCTACATCATTTGTTCGATCACGAGGACGTTCTTAGAGCGGACGGACTATAGGTTGATTGTTAACAAAGAAATAAATAAACTAAAACATATTATAGTAAACTGGCTCATGGATTACGTGCACGAGTGTACGGGACAGTTAATTACTATTATCTTACGGTCGGTGTAGTCTCGAGTTTATGACTAGGTTTCCTGTTTAGTTTATATTTTATTGTTATGTTTTGTTTGTTTTGAGGGCATAATATCTCGGATGCCTGGCGCATCGTGGGTGGGTGTTTGAAATTCTCTTGAACATATTAAAGTTTTTTGAAGGATTTTTGCAATGTACAGATGTGTTGTTAAATGTCGATCGAATGATTATACTAATATGATAGAATTAAAACGAATCCTGGCACACGCACAATGGAAATATTGGTGCAACGTTAAAGTCGAAAGAATGGAAAGCAGTCGACGTCGCCCAAAACACGTCATCTCGGATCCTCCCGATCCACTAACGGTGCTTTTAGGTACTTCAAGCACCGGTCACGAAGGGCTCGACGAGTAACATACTGACAACAGACACAGCCTACTGAGTTTCTCGCCGGATCTTCTCAGTGGGTCGCGTTTCCGATCCGGTGGTAGATTCTGCGAAGCACGGCTCTTGCTAGGGTTCGTGTTAGCAACGTCGTCAGGTTTGAGCCCCGTGAGCTCACCTACTAGTTAAGGTTACGCTGGAATAGCCTCTCAAGGCTACCACCTTAGGTAGGAAAAAAAAAAGTTAAAGCCGTTCGTTATTCTGAAAATATATTCTTCTTAAATTGTTTTCAGAAACAATGATTAATCTATGATTAACGTAAAAAAAAGTATTTTAAGTAGACAATATTTCAAAAGCTACGAGTTATTTCAGTCGACGAAATGATCATTAGACCCTTGTTTCTTTTTTCTTTTAGTTTATTGACAATTTAAGGAAATGAAAATATTAGACCGTGGTCTAAAGTGCCATCCCACTATAGTTTGAGAAGCTGCTATATCTCAAAAATGTAATGAAAATTATAAAATCTTCATTTCTTATGAAAGTTCTACAGCTTGCAAGACATGTCGCTACTTGTTCCTAAAGACTAATCGTGAACCAATCACCGAGCAGTTAATCGCCGAAAATCGCGGTGAAGAGTTACCATCAACTTCTAAATCGTTATGTATAGTCAACGGTTGTTCCAATTTATTAAGATTAAATTATTCATATAAAGAAAAAATATATCTTATGAAGCGAAAGTAATGCTTCTCAAAGTACACGCTTTAAACTAGAGAAACAATGACAATAACCTGACACTTGAAACTATTCCTCTCGAATTGAGGTCACTCCACGAAGCTGAAGCTTATTAGACATTTGAATGTCTTGAACGACAAAGGAATAGGCAGGCTTCAAGCAATCTTCGTATAAAGGCTGTGTGTGCATAAAACATGAATATGTAGAAGCTTTAGGATGAGTAATACGTTTGAAATGGTATAAAGGTCCCTTGAAAATCTACGATAGCAATTGGGTAATTGACTTGTGTCGTATTTCTTAGAACCAGCTTAGTGGAGAGTACAATCAAGTGAAATATGTACATGTTTTGAACTCGATTATGAAAATTCGGAATTGTGAGCTTCAATTTTTTTAGTGAGTGTTGTAGGCATTACAGTATCCCTGTCCTATATATATAATGTGACACAAAATATTCCAAAAGGAAAGCAAATTATTATATGTCATCTACTAGTGCAGAATCACATCCTATCAGCACTCATAGAATGACTTGCACGAGCTCTGTTTTTTATTAGTATTTAAGAAACAACAAAAAAAAAGTTATCAGCAATATACATGGTTGTCGCAAAAAGTTGACTCAGTCTACAGTACCAAATATTTGGTGCGATTTATGTGTGAGCAAACGCTCTCAGAACCTGTTCGAAATGATTTCGTTATCTCCACCCTATCACCGCAACACCCGTCACCAAAGGGGAATTCGTCCATATTACCACAAATATTTCTCGGAATCACAACGATCAACCGTGCGTTTCGACAGATATCTACTTCTCGTACCAATAAATTCTGAAATGAGTTTCCATCTACGGTGCTCCCACGGTACTTTTGCGTTTCATTCTTAAGGAGTGGTTTGAGGGAAGTTCCACAGAGTTTTGAATGTCCCTCTACTTTAACTGATGTTTAAAACAGCAATAAAGTTAAGTTAAGAGATAAAAAAAATAATCATGTTGAAAAATCAAATTAAAAGGCAGTTATACGTAAGTCGACAAGCCCTTAGTCTGAGGATTAGCATGTTGTGACCCAACCACATATTATTTAACACTCTTGGAACCAGAAAGCAATAATTACTTGAACAAAAGAAGAAAAGAAACAAAAAGGTACTTTGTACAATTTTCACATACGACCTAACTCCAAACTCTCTACAAAATATTAAGCGAACATTCAAAAATAACTCTCAAAATGGATTTACATTTTAAGCACAACGCAGTCAATCTAAAACCTCGGCCACAATAGACTCCGAAGCACGTCTATCGATTAGACAACGCATCTGTGCTATAGCTCGACCAATGAATATGTAAATTGGTCTCGGATTAACCCCGACTGGGGTGAAAGAAACCCCGGGGCCTTGTAAAATCCCTCAGATGGAAGAAATTTTGGTGTGCCAGTAATATAATATTTTTTCATGATTATTAAATTTTAAATTTACATAAATTTTTGTGGACGTTCCTCGACCGTTGATCAGTTTTGGCATCCGTTTGGATATTTATTGGAATTTTCATGAATGAATATGGAAGTGTATTTATTTTTTCTGGGTTTTTGCTAAGTAACTCAGTTTTTTTTGTATTATTATTAATATATCCAAAATGTTAAGCTGCTGTAACAAAGACAGTATGCACTAATTAATTAACTATTCAAACAATTGCACATTAGGGTTAAAACAAGCCTTTTTATTTAAAAACACACGCCAGTCGCATTGAACCATGAAATTTTCATATCACTGCGGCACGTTATATAAACAAATGTTTTTCATGGAACACTCGAGACCGCCGATAAATTAAATCCATTGACCTAATTAAACGAGAGTGTCATACGATAAATTCGCACGTATTTAAACGACCGATCATCTAACCGCACGATGTGGAAGGTTCGCGACCGACGTTCACGCTTTCCGTGATAAGCATTCAAATTGTAACGTGAGCGCTGAAAAATATCGTGATCAAGCGATTTTCGACTCTAAACTAACTCATTTTGTTGCAATAAATAGTACACAACATACTGGTGTATTTAGTAAAATATGTATTTAACATTGAAGATAAGCGACTGGTGTTGGATTTTTGATGTGACAACGTCTTATAACTCGATGGAGCCCGCACGAAAAAACATGACTCATGCGGCGTTACCTCGCTCTGAGGCGTTCCATTTAAGGCTTGAAGTGCACGTGAGAGCGCGCAACGAGCGACAAAGAGGCACAATCGGCCTCTCCGTTCGGCAGCGTTCGACATCTGTCTCTCTCCTACTTGAGTGAGCGATGCATCCGCGTGGACAGCTGCTATACAATAATACATTTACATGTTTTTGTCAAGTATGAAGTACAGTGAATAGTGAATGTGGTGTCAATTGTCCATACAAAATATATGTATCTATCAAACAAATAAAATTAAAATTATCTTTTGAAAAATGAAACCATTCCATCAGTATTTTCTTATAACGTTGTCACGTTCAACTATCGTCAGTAAGCCGACTTTACAGACAACCGATTTTTTAATGGTCTGTAAGGAAATTTTAACTGAACTGATGGGGTTTCGTTTTGTCTTACTAGAAATTTAAGATTTAAAATCCTTGAGTTTATATTTTTGGGGATTTTTCGTGTATAATGGTTGTATTTGAACAATTAGTGTCTTAGAGTTTTTAATTTAAGTGTTTGTAACGCCTATTTTTGTGTCAAATCGTAGATCGATACTGGGGTTGCAAAATAATTTTTAACAATCAATTGTTAGCTTGCAACCGATTTGTGTGTATAATTTGTGGCACTACTAGGAAATGGAATTTCATTATGTACATAGGGAAGCCAAGGTTTGATCTTGTTAGTGATGGTGCTAATATTAAATGAGCTATAGAATGGTATGGTAATATGACCCATGAAACTGGTCTCGATGACCTTATCTCACGCTTTTCACGTCCACTTATAGCACACACAGTAAATACCTCGATATAATATCATGCCATTTCTATGTTAATCGACATAAGATGATCTAGTGCAGACTGTTTCATATGAAAGCCTCTGGGAATCGATTTTACTGAATCCCATTAATCTTGAACTAGAGTAATGGAACTTAGGAGATACGATTCAGATGGATTTAGACTCGATTAATGTTAATTAATATCAGCTCACTTGCAAAATTTATTTCGATTCATTTCCGGAATTCAAATCTCCAATACAAAGAATACCTTTTTCGGCGCCGTTACTAATCACAAACAGTTTCCGTAGAAATAAAAAGAAAAGCTCGTGTAGATATTTGAAGTGAATACTTTCACATACCTGCCAGTTTAAGTCCGATTCGTTTCCCTGGAGGCTTAAAGAGCTCTATGTGGGTCCTTCGCAGGCCCCTCTCAGTGCAGAGCCCGGAGTCCGTGGATAACGATGTTTGGGATTTGAACACTGCAACAATGAAAACGGGCTTCAATATCGAGGAATTTACCCGTATCTCTGGAGGCCAAGACGTTCTCTCAATAAAGTTTATTTTGATGTAGACTTCTAACACGGAATTAAGCAGGTTTTACGGTTAAAATATTTTAATCTAATACGTTTGGAATTTTAGAATATTTCTTAGAAAATAATACAGAGTTGTTTTGACGTTAATTGGGATTAAGTAATCGAGAAGAAATACCGAATCTTCTGAGTGTTTTGAATTTTGTTTAAAATGATAGCATTTACAATTTAAGTTCCTTTAAATAAGGCAAAACAAAAATGAAACGTTCTAAGCCCACTATAATGAATGTCCGAATAGTTCTTATGTCTGAAGTCGTCGTGGCCTAAAGGATAAGACGTCCGGTGCATTCGCGTTGAGTGATGCACCGGTGTTCGAATCCCAGGCGGGTACCAATTTTTGTAATGAAATACGTACTCAACGAATCTTCACGATTGACTTCCAGGAATGTAAAGGAATAACATCGTGTAATAAAAATCAAAGCCGCAAAATTATAATTTGCGTAATTACTGGTGGTAGGACCTCTTGTAACTCCGCGGAGGTAGGTACCACAACCCTGCCTATTTCTGCCGTGAAGAAGTAATGCGTTTCGGTTTGAAAGCAGCTGTTTTAACTATACTTGAGACCTTAAAACTTATATCTCAAGGTGGGTGGCGCATTTACGTTGTAGGTGTCTATGGGCTCCAGTAACCACTTAACACCAGGTGGGCTGTGAGCTCGTCCATCCATCTAAGCAATAAAAATAAAAATCTTACGTTACGGACGTTTTTTTCCCGGTTAGGGTACCCCTCCGCATCGTCCCATAAGGAACTTCGTTCCAAAGAAATATCATTAAAAAACGTGTGGCACTGGGGAACTGCCGCGGTAAAGCTATTGCATAGCATTTTTTATTAACTTATGCAATTATAATTAGACAATGATAATTTAATATTAAAACAATAATAAAACAAAACCACGCTATATTAAACATTAATAAAAACAAAACCTTAACAGTCCCCTTCACACTCATAAGCTAGACCGCGCGAGAGAGAGATGGGCAGACTTTTCATGATGCGCATGCAGTGCCACGTCACGCCACGCGCTTATTCACAAACACTACACAAGCGCAACGTGTGAATGTGTTGAACGCGAGCTACATGGTAGGCAGAGTGAGGGGTGTAAGGTTTTTTTCGTTACGGAATTTCATGATTCGGTCGCCGCGCTCAAGGCCCGCGATAAAAGCTATGCAATAGCTTAAAAATAAAAATAAAGCATTAACAGGCTTATAGACGAACAAATCACCGGGAAGCTCGTTACCGTCGAACTTTTACAGTAACTGCAGTTGTCGAACTGCTAACCGCTCCTTTAAATAATACCGGGACGTAGTGCTGCGCCGATCCGCGCCTCGCGTTTCGATAAAGTTGAGTTACGCGAGTTCACGAAGTGGCAAATTAAATCGGGAACGCTGACATCGAACGTTTCAAAGTGCTGTTGTTGCTCGAATCGAAAACCCGTGACCTTTGACGGTATGAGGTCACTTTTATTTGTGACTACGTGTGTTCCGCGCTTTAACCCTAGTGCCATTAGTGATTCAATAATGTAACACAATAGGAGTTCAATTAGAGTCCCGACTACTTCAAATTGATTTGCAGACGCGACAAGACCATATCGGTGCTTTTGTATGTATATACATACATACATACATTTTACTGGTGGTAGGACCTCTTGTGAGTCCGCACGGGTCTGCCTATTTCTGCCGTGAAGCAGTAATGCGTTTCGGTTTGAGCCGTTGTAACTATACTGAGACCTTAGAACTCATATCTCAATGTGGGTGGTGGCATTTACGTTGCAGATGCTTATGAGTTCCGGTAGCCACTTAGCACCAGGTGGGCTGTGAGCTCGTCCACCAACCAACGCAATAAAAATAAAAACCGAATCGTGTTAAAGCTGCTTTCCTATCCTGTAAGTCGGAAGGCATGAATGCTTCGTGGTAAAACAGTATTAACTACATGTGTGGGCAACAAAACCTCTTAGTCACCTTTTGCGACATCCACGGAAAGAGATAGCTATTCCTGACTGACGCCACACAGCCAGAATACAGCATCACAGAATACTACCATAACTAGTATCATCTACTATCAACTACTTCGACGTATGGTCTTGAATTTAAGCTTAGTTAGTTGTTTCATCCGAAATCAACACAAATACCTACGTTCATGACATCCATTATGTTGAAAATAGGTCTCTTAACTTCAGGTGCTGAATAGGACAAAAAAAAAATTGCGTCTAAATCAAAAATAGGTTGGAAATACAATATTTCCAAACATTGAATTTCCAACCAGACTGCTATTATGAATGAATCATAAATTCGTTACGTAACTTTCAATGCAACAGAAATAATTTATTTTCCCCGGGCAGTTAATTTTACTTAATTTCCTTATAGCGCCCGGCGGAGGTCAAGGACGAAGAAAGAAAACGTTGCTCATATAAAAACGTATACACTGTAGACTAAATCAGAAAGCAAGAAATTTAAGGGGTGACTGGCTGCATCCTCGGCTTGTCTACGACCATCAGATTGTTTCTCCATATTTTCAAGGACCTTGCTCTAAGTAACTTAAGATTCGTCATATTTCGGTTGACAAATGTACATAATATTTACGGCCATGATGACTTGTATTGGTCATCACGGTCACGGTCACATGATCGGAAGAAAGGGCACGATGAGTGTCATCATCATGACTTCAAACTATACCCTCTATGAGAAGAGCAGATCCGTACTTTTAGCACACAATTCTGATTCGACCTTTCTAATGATGCATAGCAACAAATCGTGCGAAGCTATGTTTGATTTTACAAGTTTACCATATCCCAGAAAGAATGGGAGAATGGCGGAATGAGGAAAGACAGCTCCTCAAGGGTATCTCGTCCAAAATGTTGATCTAGGAACCGAAAAAGGGGTTTATGAAGACTAATCCTGGAAATAATCATTGATGCGGATTTTTTCATCTAAACATCCCTACTAGAATCCTTAGAATACTAACGACTTTAGCCGAAGTAAGCGAAAATACTTGAAAAATTACTAAGTGGAAGCGGTTCCCCACCGAACGTGGTCTCGCCTTGTCGCGGCGGTGGGGCTTAAGCGTGCACCCCGATACCGTGGAGCAGTGTTGTCTGCACAGGGGTGCCGTGAACAAAGAAGACTGCACACCGTGTTCCCGTTTCCCACCTTTGCTGGACAAAGTGTGTGTGAAGCGGGAGAGGGCTCCCTTCTGGAGCCCTCTTGGATGCTAGGCCATGTCCCCGGCAGCTCTTTGGCTGCTAAAGGGGAAGGCCCTCCAGAGGAGGGTACCGGTACGCCGGCGTGGCCACACCGTGGTCGGACGTGTGGGTCTGTCAGTAATGGTAGACCCCACGTGGATGAGAAGTGAACCGGAGGGCACTCCCTTCCGGTCGCTGGTTGCCATGTCCCCGGCTGCCTCTTGGCGGCTACAGGGGAAGGCCCCCCAAAGGGGGGTACCGGTTTACCGGCGTGGCTTCGAAGAAGCACACCGCAATCCCTACCGAGTAGGGGACGGGGGCTGCTGCCTAGCAGGGGCCGTGAGGATGCGAACCTCTATAAAAAATGCCCCAATCCCAAGTTTTTGACACCTGACGATGGGATGAATGGCTGGAGGGAGTCTAGTCCCAAGGGTTGTCCCATACCGTAATCCCCACTTGGTGGGGGGCGNCCGACTGGGCTCCGGCCCGGTCCGAGGTAGGGCGCCGGTTGTGAGCGGCAGGAGTTTTTAGTGAGGTTCAACTCCCACATACCCCACCTGCCGCGCGGGTGGGGATCCGGCGATTTTCTCCTGTGGAAAAAAAAAAAAAAAAAAAAGTGGAAGCGGTAGTAGTTAGCAAGTCATGATGAAAATAAATCCATAATTTCCTTTATGACCTGAGTGTGTCTTTAAAGTCTTTAAAGTACCAATACTTGGCCTGTGACATTTTAAATGATACTTTCCGCTAAGTTCTCAGAACGCTGTTAAGATTCGTGCTTGTTCGTAAGCATTAGCGGTTTCGAAGTCATTAGTAAGGCTTAAAGTTTCATTTCATAATAGAATGCACAATGTTTTATTGTCGCCGATTTGCAAAAGTGTGAAATAATTTTTATTTTTGTCAGCCGCTGTCATTTGTTTTGGCAGTTTTATTTGTGCTCTCAGGATTGTAAAACGGCTAGGTGAAAACGTAAACCTTAATGACCATTAAAAAAAAACGCTAGATTCAACCTTAAAACTATGTAGTTGTGATATTGTTATTACTGTTTATTTGTTCTTTAATTTCGCGAAACCTAAAACACAATCGTAATATAAATAGATGTCAAACACATCAGATTACGTAGGTGTCCACCGAGAAAATATGTAATGATAAAATGTACTTTAAAAATCAAATATAATAACTGTACTATATAAAATAAGTATGGTTTTGTAATTATCGGAATTGGAACAGAAAACGAAATGTGGGTGGGATGAAAAATTAATTACAAAAACTTACTTAGGTTTCTAAGCGTAAACAACACGTGAACCAGACAAAATTTCAACATTTCCATATACATTACTGAAAACTCAACGTGATATTGACATTGATATTAGATTTAGCTACAGGTAAACATTATACAAAATTTAAGACTGAAATACCATTAAAGAAAGGTATGCGAAAACGAGAAATTTACAATAAACCCAAATCGCGCTAATGGGAATTTTAAATTTGGTTGTATATATAGAAGAATATCGGCTGAACCTTCCGGGGGTCAGTCGTCTCGGGGTAAGGCAGTTCGCGGCGCGCTGCTCTAAAGCGCCGATTATTTAGACACTCCTCAAAGGAGTAGGACCTACCTTGTATCTCAAATAATTCTCAGCATGATCATCACGCAGTTAAAGCCGTATAATACAATAAACTTAGTCACCTACGAGAACGACGCGTCTAAAAGGCGGTT